AAAATACAGCAACAAACATTGCCTTTTGACTGAGTAGTTCATGCATGGAAGGGTGAAGAGGTGCTGATGTTTTATGAGAAGCATTTGGGCCCAGTTATCTTTTGCTTTATCACTGGAGTAAGATTCAGGTCATGGATTAAGACACCTAAACTGGTGCATCTATAGACATTTATACATCTAAAGCTGAACAAGCAGCTGGAGACCAGGTTGGATAAGGAAGTCTGATGGCAATAGATACCCAAGAGAGGCCATCTGGATGAAGTTACAGTTCACCATACCAAATTTTAGTTGCCTCCAACCTGGGGCTATGTCCCACCCACTGTAACCTGTGTGATTAGTTAACTACGTGCAGTAATGAAGCAAACAGCAAGCAAACCTGTAGGTCTAGAGGTGAATGTTCCAGAACTCTGCACCAATTGGCTTACAATGGGATTCTGTTCCTAGATGTAGCTTGTTACGTATTCTGTGAAAAAAAAGTTGCTGAGGTCCTGTCTAAAGTGCCTCTCTGTGGGGCATGGTTCTGTTGCCTTGGAGTCAGCTGAGACACCCCATGGAGTCTGTGGCACCTCTAGGGGCTGGCAGGCAGGACCCAGGATCTAGAGGACACCTGTGACCTGGAGCAGATCGTGGAGGCCACATGAGATCATAGAATCATTTAGGTTGAAAAAGACCTTTAAGCCCAACCGTTAACCTAACACTGCCATTCTACCACTAAACCATGTCCCTAAGCACCTCGTCTATCCATCTTTTAAATACCTCTGGGGATGGGGACTCAACCACTTCCCTGGGCAGCTTGTTCCAGTGCTTGGCAACCCTTTTGGTGAAGAATTTTTTCTTAATATCCAATCTAAATCTGCCCTGGCGCAACTTGAGGACATTTCCTCTTGTCCTATCACCCGTTACCTGGGAGAAGAGACCAGCACCCACCTGGCTACAACCTCCTCTCAGGCAGTTGTAGAGGGTGATCAGGTCTTCCCTCAGCCTCCTTTTCTCCAGGCTAAACAACCCCAGTTCCCTCAGCCGCTTCTCATCAGACTTGGGCTCCAGACCCCTCACCAGCTTCGTTGCCCTTCTCTGCACACGCTCCAGCACCTCAATGTTGTTCTGGTAGTGAGGGACCCAAAACTGAACACAGTATTTGAGGTGTGGCCTCACCAGTGCCAAGTACAGGGGCATGATCACTTCCCTACTTCTGCTGGCCACACTATTCCTGATAGAAGCTGCAATGAGATGCCCTGCGATCTCTGAAATAGCGCTGCAGCCTGTGGTTGAGAACTCAACACTTCCCTGATGACTGCCTGGGGCCATAGCTGATTACCTTAGATGCTTAACCTTTACACGTCTAAAACTGGATGAGAGGAATCCCAGATGAAGCTATGTCCCAACCTGCAGCATGTTCTTTCTTTGTCACCAGGTGGCATTTTTGCATCTCTGTGGGATTTGCTACAAGAGCTGTGTGTGTCCAGTGGTTGAGAGAGCGCTTTGGTGTGCCTGCACGTCCCATATGCAGTGTGGCATGAAAATTGGTCTCATTTTATGCACCTCAGGAAAAATAGCAGGGCCCACAGTCACTGCGAATCACTATGTGAAGAGATAGCATGAGGCAAGCAGCTGGAGTTCTAATAGAAGCCTGATGCACTGTGGTCAATTGAAGGCTGTTGACACCAGGTGAAAGTATTACCTTGGCAAATGGAAAAAGTAAAAGCCAATTTAGCTCCTAAGTTCACAGCATCCTTTCTGATAGTTCCCGTTGAGAGAAAAGCAGGGAGAGGTTTTTCCTTTGTGCCAAAGGAAGGAATAAAAGCCCACCAGCTTGCTAATGTTGTGGGAGGATGATGCTTGGCTGGTGTCCCGCAGAGCTGGCATGAACAGGAGGGGACGTAGCAGCTTCCCCAAGGACAACCCTGAAGGGTTTCCATTAGCACCAAGTAGAACAAGCTCTTGCAGCGCGTTTGGGCTGGGCCAAGTGGGGTCAGGCGTCTGCAGCCGTGTGGATCTGGAGTGACTTGTGCCCGGACGAGGGAAGAGGTGACAGCCTGAAAGGTGTTTGGAAGTGGCAGAACAAATGCCAAAGGCAGGGACCCAAGTTGGTGAGCAACTAAAGGAAACAGCTAAAAAGAGAGGCCACTACATGGCTTCTACCCCTTTTATGGGCAAGAGGTGGGCCACACATTAAGGCTGTTTTGAGGAGAAACTGCTGATGGGAGCAGGAAGCTTTGGGAAAATCCTCTTTATTGATGAAGGCGGCACTGAGTCCTGCTCTGAAAATGGTGGATCCTTTGCTTCTCCCCAGGGCCACTCCAGCTGCCAGGCTCCCCTGGCAGGTTCCAGTGTGGGGCCGTGTCTCCGCTGCTTGTTCCTGCTCTCCCCTGGACCTGAGCATCTCTCCCCGGCATCCGGAGCGGAGCCTGCCCCTGCCCCGCACGTGGGGAGGACGTTGGGGTGGCTCTGCGGCTGTCTTCAGAGAGGGCTTGCCGAACCCAAGAACATTTTTTAGTGAGATTCCCACGTGAGAGGTAGAAATGGCGTTTGCTGATTTGGGATGGTTTTGACCCAACTTGCTGGTCTCTTTCTCATTGCTGAGTTGTGGTGGGGTTGCTTCACTCATTTCAAATGAGCAATGTATTAAATGGTAGAGCACATATTGAAAAACTTCGTAAGAACTTATGAGCTTTTCTGTGCCAAAAAAATAAAAGCGCACCTGGCTCAAATGTTAATCTACAATATTGCTTTGACTGGGCAATAACCTTGCTAAATTAGATAACCGCTAGCTGTTGTGTATGTTTCTGGGGCAGAAAATGCTATGGCTGTCCAGATGTGGGGAATGGCAGTTACCCACCTTACGAACCTGAATTAAAGTAAGGATTAGGTCTTGATTACATATTAAGAAATAGTGTATCCTTGACAATGTCTTCTGAGAATTTGTAGATATATTATTTAGGGGTTACATTTCTGAGGGATTGTGGAAGGAAATGGATCACCCCACAGATGTCTTTGCGGTAGGTGATTACTGCATGAACAGTTCACTAAAGGGTTTTGTGCTTCTTAAACCCATCAGCATCAGCAGGCTGTATTTGAAGACTATTAGTTCTCCATTGCAGCAGAATTAAAGGGGAAACACCCACATTTGATTATTAAAGTCTGGATGCCACTCCATTTGCAGTGCAACCACAAAAATATTTTAATTACGTGATTATTCCATACTGTCACTACGACAGGGCAAAGGTCATGCTTGTGGCAGTGTAGTATGTTATATTTCTAAACACGGTATTATATGCAGGTTTGTATTCATTTTGATTTTAATTTGGATACTCAGTTCCCTCCCATGTAGAATGCTCCCTTTGAGGGGGGATGATGTTTTATTCTCTACAATTAGTGGTATAATCAGTAACATAATGTAGGTTTTATCTGAAAGTACATAGAAGCGTGTATTGACTCAGATTTTGGCTGCTCTTCAAAACGCAGGACCATCTTGTGGTGTGGTGTGAGTGCATAGGTAGTAACTGATCTTCTCATTATATAGACCACTGAAATAAAAATTGTGTAAAACACATGTGAGATAACAAACACATCTCATTAACCATGGATTTGTTCTTCCAAGGCTTTTAAA